GTCTGCTGCACGAGTCAGAATAATAATTATATGGGCCAGTGCAGTCGATGCGTGGGAGGAACCGTGGCAACTCAACATATTGTCATTAACCTCGTCCCATCAGCGCCGCTTCACACTTACGTAGGCACACATACAGGGTGTTACAAAAATGTGGACGATATTTGAAGATCACAAGAGCCTCACACTTTTTATTTTTTATGGGATAATATGTTATGGTTTATCGGTTTCCTAACTTTGATATTAATTCGTAGCTAAATATATAAATAAAATATTATAACTTGAAAAATAAGTCTGAGATGACATATATTTTTATTTAATGAACGTAGAATGAACTTTTTTTATCGTCCTGATATCTAGCGTTACGAATATTGTTCGCTTTTTGTAACACGTTATATATGGATAGAGACAGAGAGAGAGACTCTGTGGCGCGAGTGCATTTACGTAACTGTTGCACTAATCTGCCGCATGAGTCGATATCACGCGATCATCGGTGATCACGCCTCTCAGGTATCGACGCGTGAAGGCTGCTAGTTGAAAACTAGACGAAAGCTCGTGAACTTTGGGACTTCGGATAATAACATAGATATGCTGTATGCTATCCTTTTGAAACTATGCATTACATTTTGAATTTCTTGAATATTTTTTTCTTACGCTTTTTGCAATTCTTTTGTGATTTTATTTCCAGTGTAGTATATTTATGTATTTAGGCGACTCCTCAATTTGGTTATAATCGAATTTCTTAGATATACAATTCTAATTAATCAACTGATCCTTAATATTAGAAAAACTTCTATGAAAGTAGATCTAGTCATTAATTACACGTAGATCACTATCAAAACAACCTAAACTAACCTAACCTAGTCACGCCTGTATGTATAGGCAACGATATATCGAAGAACTATAATCTTAAATCAAGATACACCTTTCTCAACAGATCAACAGCTCCAGGCTATATTACTACTCCTTAACATATTTCCCCACCAACGAACAACTCCCAAAACAAGCATCAGAACGGATGTCTCCTAAAAAAGAGCGAAAGGCAGCCGGGCAAGCATCAATTTCCCAGCCGATCCCCGACTCTGACGTCTCGCAGAACGCATAAGCTCTAAATAACGCGCAGTATACACGTTACTCTATCTGGTAGTATTAACCTCGCCTGCAACATACATGGCCGCCAACCGCACACAACTACCAGTTTCCATTGGCATGCGAGTGAGCGAAGCCTAGTGATGGACTCAAGTATTTCGCAAGTAGGTTGGAACACTAACTGACAAGATTGGAATCCTACATAAGTATTTTAAAAATAGAAGCAGTACTCCCAAGCGGACTTAAATGTAAATCTGACAAATTTGGATCCTTTATCAGTGATCTGAGAAATACAATAAGTACTCCATGAGTGGATGAGTGGCATCTCGACACTATGAAATTAATCTTGAGTGCTGGATTTGATTCACGATTATCAGTACGTGTTAAACTTAATCCCATCACTATTAAACACTCGCGTGGCGCTAGTGACGTGTCAGGCGTCAAAGTATTAAGCATCCATTGTGACCAATCAAAAAAAAGTTTAAGGTCCCGTTAGTTCGATACAGTCTCACAAAATTAACATGTGATAATTCCAAAGTAGAATTCTCAAAGTCACAGGCGCATTATATATGAGCTAAATTTTGAGTTTGCTTTTTTATGGTTACCAGCGTTGTTGTTGAAGGTAAATTGTCAATTACAACACTGAAGTATTATATCTCGCGATTACTATTCGAATCCCGTGAAATGAATCTTGGGCAGCGGATTGGTTCGCATTTATTGGTTCATATTGAACTTGATCCCATCAGTAGCAGAGCCCTCTGTGCGTGTTGCTCACGCGAACCGTGTGCACTGCGCACGCACGCGTTCGTGTATCGCCACTCAAGGCCGTATCTGCATCCTGCTGCAATTCACACAGTACCACCCGCTATTAGCCGTTGGAAAATCCGTCGTGGGTTCTCAGACACATTCCTGGGCTGTGGAAGAAAATGGAAACGCTGGATGGATAGGCGCAGTTAACCTCACCTGGGCAGATCCTCGCTTTCCACGAATTTGTCACTTTTTTTTCTTCCATTTTCTTCCCGTCTCGTTTTTAACTTGTTTTAACCTCTCTTTGTGAGGTTTGATCTAATTTTCTGAATATATTGCTTAGATTATTTTGTAGAATTGTTTCAGGACTTTAGTGAATTTCTTCATTCTTTCAAACTCATTATTTTTGAAAGAGAAGGTTTAAAATCGGTTAAATTCATCGTGTTTGTTTCTTGCGACGTTGAGAAGATCTAAAGATAAATGTCCCTCGTCGAAAGGTGTGCATTATGGAAATCGTTTCAAATATTTGCGAGCATCGCTTATCTTTCGTCGTTTGTCATAGGGATGCGGGTCCAATCGGCAACAGTCGCGAACGAAATACCCATATCACACCAAAAACCGCTTAGAACCCCTCCGATAATGGGCTCTATTTCGTAATTAATGTTACAGCCCACATAAATGCGACTAAATAGAACATACCGTTTGTGGTAAATTAGTATGGGACATGCCAGCTGTTCTACTACCTAATTCATGCATTTAATGTATCCTAGAGAGAAGCGAAAGTCCCTAGACCAACTCGTCTCTCAAAAAGCTCTGCAACTGTTTATAAATAAAGTAAAATAACTTAATAGTATGTTAATTGGAGTGGCACATCAAAAAATGTTCAGAGTGTAAAGAGTTAATTCATCGGCGTATCTCATCTGAGATTCCTAACCTCAATCTCTGTTTAAAAACCACGAACGATTAAATCCAATCTTCCAACTGCAAAAAGAAGTTAATTAAACGAGATTAATGAAAAACGAGTAAGGAGGAGGAAGGAAAGAAACGGAAATTCTAAGTGAAAAGTCAAGTTCTACTGATAACGACTAATTACCAGGGGCATAATTTATCAATGAAATGAGCTGGCGCGCGACTAATTAACAAAGACCGAAAGTAAAAGGATGAATCATTGCGATGAGATAGTCGACGCAGAAAAATTCAACCGTTTCTCGCGGCTAACAACGAAGAAAAGTTATTAACGACGACAATCGATAATTTAGCCTAATAAAACTGGCGGCGCGGCGCTGGAATACGTAACCCCAGCAGAGGAAAAAGGGAGAAAAAGTTGCACCCTGCACGTGGTAAAAGCAGCCAATTAGCACATGTCGCTGGGCACAGAAATATAACAATCAACCCTATTTTTAAATCGCCTCGAGACACAGCTCTCATTAGCTATTTGATCAGTCGTGGCTTTTCTTTCAGAAATATTTGGAGATCTCTTTTCTAACGTTTTTTAAAAATAACTTTACTGTTATAAAATTACTATATAGTATAAAATTGTCTGAATAAAAGTTTAATGAACATTTTTAGAACTACACTTTACAACTGTGGAAGAAGCTCGCCTCACCGGTTTATCTGGTATCAAAAACCTTCATTAACGTTAGATAATACTCCTTTTATAGTCCATCGGACTATTTATCAGACCAGGAGTTTTGTTCGTTCAACGGGGAAAAGAAGCGACGAGGTTAGGTCAGCCTGTTAAGTTCTCATTTGGCGCACGAGTTTCCTGAATTCAGAAACCATGGTTGAATTTTCTCCTGACAAACTGCGTTTCTCATTCATCCTTTGTTTAGTTGCTGCGGAAGACCTTACAAGAATTCTTTAAAATTCTTTATTTACTTTCTACCTTAGGGAATTTTTCTGCGACATCTTGCTATCGAATCTATTATCTAAATATTTTCACCAACGTGAAAGAATTTATCAAAATTAAAACTTCTCAATTTTGTGCTTCCTCCTAATCAACAATTTTAATCAGTTCTTCTTTCTTACTTAGAAATTCATTTCCTTGGATCTACTGGATAAATGTCTACTAAAATGTTAACCTAACCTCACAAATAATTCTCCTTCAAGATCTTCTTGTTAGAAACCTTATCCGTTCATGAGAGAAAATCATATTTCAAAAATTATATTTCATTGACGAGTCTTATGTGTCGATGTGAAATTGAGAAACATACCGATGAATGCTATATTTAATATACGTTTAAATATTTAACTATTTATGTATTTACTCTACTAATCTCAACTACGTATCTGTTTTCCTAACCTAATCTTCATCGAAGCTTCGTTCAACTTGACTCAGAAAATTTCCAAGACCTCGACAACAAACGTCCACCCCCAAGAGGCAATTGAACGAGCTTATCATCGGCGCCCATCGTAGTCTGTATCGCGATCGCCTGGAAGCTTCGCGTGCATCGAAGCTGGCACGCGAGAGAGCGGTGCAGTATGGCAGTAGTGCAAGCAATCACTTGGATTGACGGAAGTGGACACGAGAGACACAACGACTGCAGTGGACGAAGAGAGGGCGGTGGAGACGGGGGAAGTCTGCGTGAGAGGAGAACGTGGCCGGTGACGTCACATCCGGTAGCTGGTCGACGTTTCACTCTCTTTTTCTCTTTCGCAGAACGCGCGCGCCATCAACAGAAAGAAACGCGAACGCGTGCACTGAATTCCTCATGTGTCCCGCGTTCCTCGCTCATGCGTCTTTGCCAGGATTTACACGTGTCATCTTTCTTTTAGCAAGTTCGTAGGTCGAGGATTGCTCAGAAGAGATGAGATTGATCGCTTCTACAGTTTGAGAACTTCTGCATAGAATAATTTTGTGGCAACACAGCAGAACTGCACTACGTATTATTAGTATTCAAGCTTTCGAGATAATGATAATGATAATGATGATAGCTTCGTTGGTTTCATTGGCTTGAGGACCCTCGATGAAGCTAGCCACTCTAACAGTGATAAACAACCCAACGATATCGAAGATTGAGAGCTTCGAAACTTGTGCAACTCGGTACTACATTTTCTCGATATGTGTCATTTGGTCTCTGATGAAGCTAACTGCAGTACTTTCCAAGAAAATGTTCCATCTCTTAATGGAGAATTCGGAATTCCTAAATAACAAGAACTTCACTTACCTATTTTACTGTTGGGACTGTAAGGATCGTAGCTGCTGGTGCTCATAGGGCTGGCGTATCCGTTGTTGCTACTGGGCTGCTGCTGCTGTTGATGTGCCAAGGGGCTGGAATGAGCGAGAGGCGGTTGCTGTTGCTGCGACTCGGTCAACTGTTGCTGAGGATTCGTGTAGACCACGTGTTGGCCCTGCAGCGTGGCGGTCGGCGAACCTGGGC